ACTACTTTCTCCTTAAGGTACTGTTTTTAACCCTCTTCATTGTTTTAGTTTCCCCCTATGGATACTTCTAAGCTCCTATATATATATATATATATATATATATATATATAACTGAAATAAACTATCGCAAGTATTACAAGGAGAGTGCTCAATGGTAGAGCAGATTGCCTAATAAAATTAGGCAATTTTATCTGAAGAGTGTCACGTGTGTTGTTCCGTCCTAGATGTTGCTATGGATCTGAGATAAGAGGTTCACGTTCAGCCAAAGTTCGTTACCAAGTACGTTCATTGTTCTGAAGTGAAGGCGTATTGTAAAAACTATCTCAGATCCATGGCAACGACTAGGACGCGCTCCCAAAAAGTGCACAACCCCAAAAATAGCGGAAAACGATATCTTATTACAGTATAAGATCTTTGGTTTGGGGCAGTTAAGTTGTGAGGGTTGTCAAAGATCTTATAATATACAAGATAGCGTTCTCCGCTAATTCTGTAATAGCGTATGAACCTGCTTGCTAAGTTGAAAACTTTTGAACCTTGATCGCTCTGACCATAGCGTACGCCGCGCGACTTTACGTTTACGCGTAAGAATTAGAAGCTTCCGATTTACAATGCGCCCTCTCTTTAGAACATAATGAACAAATTAACGTACTTGGTAACGCGAACACCCTATCTCAGATCCATGGTAACGACTAGGACACACTCTCCCAAAACTAATTATTTTTTATTATACGCCTGGCGTATCTGATAGGTCTGAACGTAGCCTTTGTCCTGAGAAATACGCCAGGCGTATCTAACGCCGGGCGTATGTTAATCCATGGCGTAACTAGCGAGATGTCTAGACTGGGCGATTGATGAACGCCAGCGTAAATATTCGCGTGAAATATTCGTATTCGTGCATTTTATTTTCTGTTTACATCTAGATTTATTTTGATTAGTCAAATCTTGGCTGAGCTCAAAATCACCGATGCGTGACTCTCGTAAATAAGTGGCGTACGCTAATCTGGGGTCTGTTGCTGGGTTACCGTACGCCAGTGATTGCGCGATACTGGCGATCGCTAGTACGCCACGCACAAGTTCACACCACTCGATTAACGTTACGCTAGCGTAAGGCTATGTTCAGACACAACGACTTACGCTAGCGTAACGTTAATAGAGTGGTGTGAACTTGTGCGCGGCGTAGCGAATGCCAGTATTATCGCGCAATCACTGGCGTACGGTAATCCAACAACAGACCCCAGATTAGAGTGCGCCACTGATTTACGACAGTCACGCATCGGTAATTTTGAACTCAGCCAAGATTTGACCAATCAAAATAAACCTAGATGTAAACAGAAAATAAAATGCGTAAATTACGAATACGAATATTTCGCGCGAATACTTACGCTAGCGTTCATTAATCGCCCAGTCTGGCCTGGACACCTCGCTAGTTACGCCATGGATTAATGTACGCCCGGCGTTAGATACGCCTGGCGTATCTAATAGTAAATGTGAGACAGGTTATAGGCCTATGTGTAATAACTGTTGGGTCTAAATGAAATAAAGGTCTTCAGTACAACAATTTTTGGGGTCTTCAAATGCTAATGTGTAATCGTTTTTGGGTCTAAATGTAATTAAGGTTCCAAGTGTAATAAAAAGGTTCTAAGTGTAATAATTTTGGGTCTAAATATAATAAGGTTCCTAAGTGTAACAATTTTTGGGGGTCTATACAAATCCAAATTGTGTAATAGTTATTTGGTCTAAATGTAATAAAAAAATTTTAAGTGTAATAAGGGTCTAAATGTAATAATTAGGTCCTAAGTGTAATAATTTTGGGGTCTAAATGTAATAAAGGTTCTAAGTGTAATAATTTTGGGTCTAAATGTAATAAAAAGTTTCTAAGTGTAATAATTTTTTGGGTCTAAATATAGCTCCTAAGTGTAATAATTTTGGGGTCTAAATGTAATAAAGGTTCTAAGTGTAATAATTTTGGTTCTAAATGTAATAAAGGTTCTAAGTGTAATAATTTTGGGTCTAAATGTAATAAAAAGGTTCTAAGTGTAATAATTTTTGGGTCTAAATATAGGTCCTAAGTGTAATAATTTTGGGGTCTAAATGTAATAAAGGTTCTAAGTGTAATAATTTTGGTTCTAAATGTAATAAAAAGGTTCTAAGTGTAATAATTTTTAGGTCTAAATGTAATAAAGGTCCCAAGTGTAATTTTTTTTTTCAAATGCTATAAAAGTTATCCTAAGTGTAATAAATATAATTAAGTTTTCTAAATGTATCTATATTGATCATAAATAATATGGTCCTACAGTAAAAGCATCGTTGACAACGAAACATTTTCAAATGGGAATTTGATGTGAATGTACCTTCAGTATGTAATAGCTGTTGGCTCTAAATTTAATAAATGTCATTATTGTACCAGAGTATTTAATAACAACGGTAATAACAATTAATACTGTCTCTTATACACATCTAGATGTGTATAAGAGACAGACTTTACGTTTACGCGTAAGAATTAGAAGCTTCCGATTTACAATGCGCCCTCTCTTTAGAACATAATGAACAAATTAACGTACTTGGTAACGCGAACCTAGCCAGTAACAATAAAACACATTCACATAGACAATGAAATGTAACTCACACACTCCTCCTACCTTGTTTGCCTAAGGCCACTGGTTCTTATCGTCACAGACAGAGCTTGAGAGAGAGAATTAAGCATGCAATGCAAACGACGACGATTGACTGTCCAAAATAATAAAATAGTGCCACCAACGTCAGCGATGTCTGCGTCCAACATAAGAATACGGCGTCCAAATGGCGTCCAACAAACACATAGAGATATAATACGGGGCGCCGTTTGGTACATTCGCTTTGTGTCTGTTACCATAAATGATGATTTTGTCGACAAAATGCTATTTTGTAAGACGGAATGTATTTTGTCACCACAAAATGCTATTTTGTCGACAAAACAGCTTTTTCATTTCATTTCATTTTTTTTTTGCCTTTATAATATAGAAAGCAGTCGGAAAACACTAAAAATAAAAAAAAAATATGTATAAAAAAGTTGGTCTCTGATTATGGGCTGGCGCCGGGATAACTGAAAAGCTAAAATAGTTACAGCAAATGTGGCTCTCCATCTCCATGCGACGTGGGGGAAAAATAAAACACAAAGAAAAAGCAGAATATATGTAAATTAATTTTATCACCACAAAATGCTATTTTGTCGACAAAAGGACTTTTCGTAGTCGACAAAAAGACTTTTGTAAAAGACAGAATTCATGTTGTCACCACAAATAAAGGAAGCGCCTCTTGGTAATAGATTTCGATTGGTCTAAAATCGTAAAAAAACTTTCCCTCACTCACCCTGGGCTGGTCTGGTGGATCATCCATCTAGGCTCTCCCGAGGGGCTTTTTAGCATTGTTGTAGCCTTGCATTTTTAAAAAGGCTGTCTGGGAGGGACCTGGTAAGCAGGTCACCCTCTACTACTATACATGAAGCTAGTACTAGGCTTAATGCCTATAATACTGTAATACGCTAACTAATGTAGGCCGATGGCAGAGGTCTAGTAGTACGGTAAGTAGCCTTAAAAAGGTGTTGTAAATAATTAATAATAACGATAATTAAACGTGTGAGTAGGTTTTTTAAATATTAAAAAAATATTAATTGGATCATCTAACATAACAAATCAATATAAAACGTTTTAAAAATTAACTTTGCTGCTTTTTAAGAAACAAAAGTTACAAATTGAGCATCTAAATTCAATTAGTGGAGAAAAAATAAAATGTTTATCCCAAATTTTGCACCAGATAATGCTGAAATATATAGAAAAACATACAGTTCATTTGGTTGGCTGCCTTTCTCTTTAGCTTTATACTGGGTAAACAATTTCAAATACACTAAATTGAATTTATGCTCAAGTTGGTCTATCATGTTCAAAAAAAATAATTTTATACGTACATTTTTAGTTTTTTTTTTCTGGTGACAATACATCTTTAACAATGGGAACTGGAGTCAAACCCCTCTTCATTCATGATATATTCGAGTGTAGATGGCAATTAAAACTAAAATCAAAACAGCAATAAGCCAACAACGATAAGAGCACCAAAAAGGACTATTCCTACATACATATCATTATCATGACATCCTTTTATAAAAATATCTTTATATTCGATTAATTTTATAACCTTGTAGAATCATTTTAAAAAATGTTGTTGTATAGCATAATGAGGTCACATTTCAGTTATCCTGTTATGTACTAAGATAATAAATACAGTACATCAATAAAGTATAAGAACTTGCTCAACAGTCAAGGAGACCTTCTGGCTCGTACGTTCTCCCTGCTCAAATACTGCCTCAGGAGAGTGGTCCTTAAGTTAGCCACAGATCCTATAAAATCACATAGGATCTCTGATTTAATATTCATTCATCATTCTGGATTCACATTCCAGCTAGTTCATTTGGATTTTATTCCTATTGTGTGGTTGGAATGCCAATATACATTTTTTTTGGTATAAAGTTATTTTTGGTAAAAAGTATTTTGTTAGCGCCATCCAACCAAGAAGTGCATATAACTTCTTTCGTTATTACGCAAAAGGTGCTTCTGTCGACTAAATGAATTTTTTCTTCTACAAAAGTCTTCTTTGTCCACTATAAAATCATTTTGCATTTTGTTTCGGAAAAAATGGTATTTTTTTTCGACAAAATAGCATTTTGTCAAGGCAAAATGGTATTTTGTCGATATTCTGGTTCCATGGTTCTGGGGTAATAGATAGTGTAGAAATAGTGTCGAATGATAGGAAAGGTCCGCCACCGCAGTTTAAGACGCACAGCGTCAATAATGAGTGGGCTTGCCGTACCGCCTCAGGCCGCATTGAACCTGATAGGTAGGAAACTCACAATCACGCGAGCATCAGCTTTTCGGGAAAAAAAAAACAAAACACACACACACAAATTTGGTAGTGAAATCTCGGAGCATTTAGAGGTAGAGTAAGCGAAAATTACACCTCCAAGAAAGGAGGCTAGAAAAATAGTATGTTAGAGTAATACATGGTAAAGAAATTAAATTAAGGAACAATTTAAATCCTTCGAAAGATTGTGTACTCTGTAGAAAAAAATTACGTCCGGATCCGCGCAAGTAATTTTATAGACCATCGACGCGTGGTTAAAAGGATCCATAATATTTAGGCCCTATATAACTTAGCTTCTTAGCACGGCCACTAAATACCTTTAAAATTACCCAATTGTTTAGGGTTCCTGAAAGAAATTTCCAATAAGACAAGATACAGACCGCAAGCTCCGTACTGTATATAATGTGTATACAAGGCATGCACTACCGATGAAATAGCTAAGCCACACCAATTACGGTATATTTATAAATTTATAGCATCAATCGACGATAGTTACCAACCATAAAACAAAATTAAAAATTTGATGTAAACTCGAGAAAGGATAGGTATGAACTAGGTGATGTTGCGTATACAGCATATCACACGCAAAACTGGTTACCAATGCTTGGCAATTATGAATATAATCGTGCATGTTATAATTTTTTGCACTTGTCAGCATTTTAGAAATGCAGTATATTTTCAACGGCCGGGTCGCTACTCTTATCCGGTCCCCATGAGGACTTGATATTAAATATTCATTAGCTTGATAGCCAACCAAGCTCAATGGGTACCTACTCTCGAAATCAAAACACACACAACTCGAATATTATCTTATCCGATAACTCTTTTTATTTTACAGCTTCATAAAGTTGAATCATAACAACTCCAATATATGCGTTTACTGAATATCTTAGAAAATAAATCGAGCTATCAAAAGCCCATAAACTGTGCGTGAAAGTATACAAGCTGAGCGATTAGCGAAGAAGTACTATAGGAATCAAACCTACAAAAGGTTCAACACTCAAGAAAATTATCAAGTGGATGAGAGTGCTTCGAAAATCTAGATACTTGTACTACTAATTCGACTTTATTATTAATATCGTTCTACCAAGAAATTTTAATTGTGCAATAAAAGTCTTGGTTCTACTACAGTATACACCAAATTTATTCCTCATGGATATTATTTTTTCTCTTTATGAGTCTATTGGATTGTTCTTAATGATATAATTTAGGTTTCAGTAGAGATTATAAAGTACCCAATAATTTAAGTAATAAATTCAAAAGAAACTATATTTTTGATTAGTTTCATTGTGTATTGTTTCTCATTACTTCCTCCAAGGATTTGTTCCTAAGCCAGCAAACGATATTCATACACCAGCTATTTATGTATCTCTATTCAACACATTATCAAAGCTTGTTTCTTACATCTAATTTCTTATTTTACGACTCTTCATGTTTTTTTACATTCGTTAGTAATATTGTCTCTAATGGCAACCAGGACTAGCACTATTATATAGCTCATGAATGATTGTGTATGTTTTTAATAACTGCGTACTGAATGTACGTTGATATTCATGGAACATTATCGTAGGCCCACGAAGAAATTTATAGAAAATATAATAATTGAGTTTGAGTATCAGTAGTGTAAACGATGAATGAGTGAAACATGTAAAGGAGGAAAATGGGCACGCATAAAAATTATAATATAGTAAGCCGCGGGGGCGCAAAAATTAAATCGACGAGGGGTGTGGGGATGTTCTCGAAAGACTACAGGTGTCGAGGCATAGGCCGCCCAAAATATCAGAGAGGGTTGTATCGCATTGCTTCAATAATGATTTTAAAGAATCAGATGAACTATACTCTACAGATACATAATATATCGACTATTAATGCAGAATAAATTATGATGAATCTTTAAAAAGGTTTACTACACAACGTAATTTGTTCACAACTATATACATACATTAGATAATCTTTTGTCTCTTAAGTATCATCGATTTTACGATGTTCAGTTAAACTGCCTATTCTTTGCAGAAGATGTAGTTTTATTTGCAGAAAATGAAAATGAACTACAACATGCTTGACTTAGCATATTAATTTACTAAAGAGTATTAACTTAATCCTAACAAATCTAATGTTCTTAAAACAGAGAAAAAAATAGATTTAGATAGATTATGACAACTTGGTGAGAGGATTGTATAACATTAGTGAAAAAGACACAACTCATAACTTGGAATTATTATTTCAAGAAATCTATATGATCACTCTCACATCAAAATATTTTAAGGAAGGGTAGCGAACTAGTAGGTTATATTAAGTTTATTATTGACAGACAAGATGATTCAACAGAGTAATAATGTATTAAATGATGTTAGGGTCAGTAGCCCTAACATCCATTATTATGAATTGTTTTGAGAAAATAGTTAAGAAATTTATAATTAAGGATACGCATGTTTTTTCCATTATAAATATGGATTCTGAAGGTTTATATGACGAAGCAGTAAAGAAAACTTCCCTTAAAAAGATATTAGGCCTATTTGTTTTTCTGGGCGCTTTCTAGGGAAATATCTGCTAGACAAACAAGGTAGTTTTTAGATTTCAGTAAAAACCTGAATTGCGAAATGTTTACTATAGGGCATATAATAAAAATGTTTGATTAAATTGTTTTATTAAAATACAATAAAGACAATTGAAAAACACACAAACCCACGGAATTTGAAACATTGTAAGCTTACCTAACACATAAGAAATCGGAATTGAAAATATAAAAAAAAAAAAAAAAAGGAAATTCAAAGCAAACAAATTTGGATACTGATATTACAATTTTATTACAATTATAATTATTGCGACAAATATTTGTTTATATTTAAGTATAATTTTATAGAAAAGGAAAAACATTAAAAATAATTCCAAACAAACTATTTCTGGCAGTAACTGAAATTCAAAGCTCAGTCAAATACCTTTTCATCTAATAGTAGACTTGCTAGATATGAAGTACATATTGTGTTAACTTAAGTGTTTGTTTATGCATGTATTTTGGTAATCTCTTCCTTTTATCTATAGTCTTGATATGGTGTATGTTACTAGGATCAAAGAACTGTTGTATTGTATTTTACTAAGATGCACCTATACTTGTTGGTTTGTGCTGCTGTTTCAAAAAGCGTATTATTCTAATAAATATGTTTAGTGCTGTCATAATTGAATAAAATTAACTTTAAGTTGTTTGTACTGTACATACAATAAAGTATACTTGAACATCATCATTTCAAACGAGCTATATAAATAACACAATACACAAGTCATTATTTACCAAAGTATGCATAATATGGCAGAGCATAAGTCTTTTGTCCACCAAACTTCTACAATTTCGAGTTACTATGTTTAGTGCTGTCATATTAAGGAAAATTAATACTTGGTATAGATATTTGATTGCATTGATATTAACATTTCAAGTCATAAGAGTATTTTTTATTGTATGTACGACATCTAAGATTAATAAGCTTCTGCAAATTAAAACACGAATCATCTCATTCTACGATAATTAGTTTGCAATCAAATCATCATAACTTTTTATTATAACAACAGTATAAGTAATCAAAAACGCTATTGCCAATGCCAGTAGTTTTCTTCTGCTCTTAGACTACGACGATGTCAGTGATATACAGGAGTGTTTGTATCTTTCTTTTGATTATTAGTTGCAGCTCTTGTAAGTCTTTTCTGCTTTTAATTCAGCATTTTCGATATTGTACGTGACAAAAATATGTATGTCATATTCTATTCATTTAATTCAATGTATTATATCAAAAACTGTAGGCTTATGGCAAATCGACATTTTTTTAAAAACAAATTCAATGTATTATATCAAATACAGTGTGGCATATATTATTTAATGTCTATTTTGATAGAGTATGTGACTGTTGCTCTTTGAGATTCTTTTTGTATTTTTATTTCTAAATTTAAATTGTTATCTTGTGTTTTATTATATTAGGAGTAACTTCTTGTTAAAAATGTCTATTTGCTGTGCTTTTTGGATGTACTTTCATAGAGAAGGATTTTGATAAAGTATGTGACTGTTGTTATTTGAGATTCCTTTTGTATTTTGTTTCTAAATTTTTTAATTAGTTAATTTTTTTTCATTATTATTTCATATCACATTTACAAAACATAAGACAAAATAAAGACGAAAGGAAAGTAAGTTATATCCATATAAACTAAACGGTAAATCTTAAACCAAGAACATAATTATTTGAAAAATAATACCGTAACAATTTAAATTAAATTAACAAATTTTGACCATTCTGCGTCGAAAATTAATTGCTTTTCTTTTATAGCCACGTATCTTACAACATTTAAATAATTTGTAAGGTATAGATTTAGTGCAATATTTGGAATCGTTTTGCCTACTCTGCATTATTTTATAAATTAAGTATTTTGTAACAATAATAATAGTATTTACCGAAAATCTTTGTTCAATATCACAGAATAAAATGGACTCTAAAGTGAAAGATATTTTTCTAAACGCTTTTGATACTCTCTGTTCAATGTTTATCCATATTGGTTGAACGTATTTACAGTTAAAGAACAAACGAGGAATCGTTTCAGGTACGCTATGTAAAAAAGTACATTTCTCATCGCGAGATATTCCAATTTTACATAAAAATACATTTGTGGCAATTATTCTATGATTAATTCTGTATTGGAACCACTGTAGTTTGGTTTGCCCTAAACATTTAAAAGGCAGGGTACATATGCGTTTCATTTACTTAATTATCCTGTTTATCTTGATTTTTTCTTTCCATTTTGTCATGCTTTTTGGAATAATAAAGTCTGAAGAAACAATTTTGTTATAAAAGTGCTTACATCCCTTAGAGGTTTTAACAAGTATATTGGTATGAAATGGAATTATTGGTGCTCATAATTTAGTGGATTGAGATACAGAATACTTGTGTTTTATTGCATTAATAAGACCTTGATACTGCAAAAAGTTACATTTGATATAGTGTTTCTTAAAATGTTCCCATGTCATTAGGGCATTTTTATCTGAACTTAATAAATCATTTATGTAAACTATACCCTTTTCATACCAACTCTTGTAAAACACCACTTTATCATCTATAGTTATATAACTATTTCCCAACTGTTTACCGGATAATTTTTTCTATTTAATTCGCACCAAGCCAAAGCTACATCATTCCAGAAGGCATTATTTTGAGTAGTTAAAATTATGTTTGTACCCGTTAAGATACACACATTTTTGGAACAAAAAAATCCGTCAAAATTTTCCATTTTCCAGATGATGTCAGATACCTTCAGATCCACGAAATTTTCAATGGCTGAAAGCGCTCTTTTATTTGAACCATATTAATTCCACCTTCATTTTGGTTTTTACATATTTGTTTTCTACTTATTTTTTCGAATGATTTAAAAATAAATTTAAAAAGCAGGGTATTAAGTTAAGTATTGAATGATTTAGATTAGAGGGATTTGGAATGGTTAAAATTAAGTGATTTATCTTAGGAAGAATTAATGATTTCACGATGGTCAACCTTCCCAGAGGTGTTAAATATCTTTTTGACCACTGTGCTAAAAATTTTCGTATGGATAAAAGGCAATCAACATAGTTAAGATCAGGCATTTGGACAAAATTAGTACAAAAATTAATACCAAGTAAATTAAATTTTCCATCATCTGGCCAATGAAAACCATTTTCTTCGCACAATTTTATTTGACATTTATCCCTATCCAATCCAGACAGCACATGTGTTTTTTTTTATAATTAACCTTTAACCCAGAAATCTTATAAAAACAGTCCAGTTGATTAATTAACTCACTATACTTCCTTCAGATCTGTCTAGGAGTAGAGTAGCATCATAAGCATACATTCTGACTTCCATTTCGACACCCTCTACATTTATCCTTTTAATCTTTTCATTTGATCGTATGTTTTCTGCTCGTACGTCTATACATAAAAGAAATTGAAATATGGTGAGAGAGGGTCCCCTTGGCGACATCCTTTATTTACATTAAAAGAAGGTGATGGATAACCATTGACAAGAACACTTGACTGACAATTTTCATAAAAAGTATCAATTCATCTTATTATATCTTCGCCAAAATTAAGTTTCATTAATGTATCCTTTAAAAATGTATGGGATACCGTGTCAAAAACTTTCAAAAGTACAAGGCCAGGTATATTACGTAAGTTTGTATATACTGTACCGGTATGTCGTAGATTGTCCTAGTACATTCGCCGGTGTATCTACCCGCCATGAAACCTTGCTGATTTTCATTAATTATACCATTAGGACACTCTTAATTCATTCGGCTATACAAGATGATCCAATTTTACATATGACATTCAAAAGAGATATAGGTCTCCAATTTTGTATAAATTCACGAGGTTTGTCTCCTTCAGGTAGTAATTAAACCTTGTGTTTGAGATATTGACAGAGAGCCTATTTCAAAACCGTAATTTAATCATTTAACGACAAATTGGCGCAGATTATGCTTCATTTTACTCAGCACTGATCTCCCCACTTCTAACGTGAATTTTCCTTCTAGTCCTAATTTATCTAGATCAGTTAGTATTGGTGTGTACTGTTCTCTAGCACTTCATCTGTCATAACCTCGTTAATTGGCTTTTCATCATTAAATGTTAAAAATATTTCTTTTAATTTCCCCTTGGCAATCAAAAGGTGGTGCTGTTGTCAATCAATGTTTTAATCATGGACTTTTCTGCATTTCTTTTTTCTAGATTAAGAAAAAAGATTGTTGGATTTTCCCCCCTCTTCATACCATCGGGCTTTCGATCTAACTATTACTCCTCCTATTCTATTTTTCATATTATTTCTAGCTCCTAATATGTGTTCGTTTTGAGGGTCAGAATTAAGTCTATTTTCTAAAATTTCGATATCTTTAATAAGTTTTCCTTCATTCTTGTCATTCTTTTTCTTTTTCTCAGAGTATTTTATAGTTTCACCTCTGATTTCCATTAAAAGTACTTAGAGAAAAATTTGATCGTTTATATTAAATTTTGGATTATCTATATTTTTATTTTGGTTTCGCTTTTTGGGGATTTTGTTGGCGTGTAGGTGTACAATGCGCCCTTTCGACTTCAATATACTCCACTCCTTCCAATTTCATATGATGAGTGAGTATGTAGGCCTACCTGGCTATATCTTCGCACAACATTCTTCCTTTGTTCATATTTTTCAGGGACATTATGATTCGCAATATTATTTCTACGTGATCTGTTCTCTAAATCATCTATCTTGTCAACAAGCCTTGATATTGAACGAAGCTGGCATTGACTGCCAGCGAAAGCTTGTGTTAAATAAATAACATCTAGTTAGTCTCAGAGTGCTGCCTTTTAATTTTCTTTGTATATCATTTTTAATGTATTCATTTGTTCAAAATATTTTTGGTCTATCATATCTAATGACGTTTTTAACTCATCTAATGTGTTTTCGTTAACACTTGTTACATTTTCTACCTTACCTAGGCCTTCCACTTTTGAAATGCGGGTCTCCATTGAATCTAGTTTTTGTAAAACTGTGTCTAGTTTTGTGTGAATACCGTCAAGTGATACTGTTACACCTACCTCACCTGCGTTCTGCTTCGCGCCCTTACATCTGTCGGCTCCCATGATCTTTTGTTTATACTACGATCGTCAGGTACAACTAATCTCGATACGTGATTTTGTCCTGTTTATCTTGCTTATTACAGGATATAGATTTTTCCATTTCACTTATCTTTGTTATCAGGTTAATATTACACCGTGTAGTCAAAATCACAGTAATCTAGTTATATAATCTTCAAAAAAATATTTTTTGTTAAAATTACATGAGCTCGAAGTGAATACGTGTTACTACATGAAATGTCAACAGCGCCCTCCCAAATTTGTTATTTTGTTGTCTTGTGTTTTGTTTATTGTTGTCTTGTGTTTTATTATGTTAGGAGTAACTTCTTGTTGAAAATGTCTGTTTGCTGTGCTTTTGCGTGTAATTTCATAGAGAAGGAAAATAATTTGATAATGTGTTCCTGTGTAAACACCTTATTTTAACAAACAACTGCAATTTCTCATGCAATATACATATTTGACATATCTTTTAGTTTTAATGTTTCAATATTTTAATATTTTGTGTTTAACCTTATTGTAATAATGTCAATTTTAATGTTTTTTAGCAACTGGCAAAAAAAAAATGTCATTGTTCACTTGTTTGATCGATGACAATAAAATATTCTTGATTCTTGAATTTTCCTTATCTTGAAGACTTAACAAAGATTCTGAAAACAATTACTGTGCTTTATAGGCCTAGTTGATAATATGTAGCCTAAAAGATTGATTTGTTTTAGAATCTGTCCTAAATAATTATAATGTGTTTATGTTTTCTACAGCATATGTGTCATATAAGAAGACGGTGACATCAAAATCAGTACAAGTGAGTTCACCCCCAGTAACGACTGTTACAGATGGCGATGATTTTGGAAATTGTTTCAAATCAGGTATGAGGTACACATGCTGTAAATCAGGCAGTCTAAATAAAACCGATTCCCCAGCTCGGGCGTACGGCCCTTTGGATGGGACTACGTACCCAAGTACAGCTCTTGCCCTGTCGTAGCGTTTCCTTGCCCTCGGAGAAATCCAGCCGCCACTGTCGTGCATGCATTTCCTCAATCCTTCCGTACACCACCGCTGTTATTTTACGAATTTCCGTTAATGCAATTTGCTATTTCCATTAGGGAATTCATATCAAGAATGGATAAAAATCGACATGGACAGAAATTATTTATAGGACTACATTCGTTGAGAGCTAGATGTATTATTATGTCTTTTATTCGAACACTGTATTTAACTTTCTTTGATGATAACAAAAAAGTACCACTTTCAAAAGTATCATTTTATAATTATAAGCACAACAGTGTTTGTTTCTGTACTTAGTTGAAAAGCGTAGAATTTGGCTATTATCTTTGTTTATTCTTTTTGATTAAACGTAGGGTCTAATTAAGCGATTCAATATTGGATTTAAATGTTTAGGCTCAACTAAGACATAAACTAGCATCAATAGATCACATCATCAAAATGGTAGTAGTGTAACGAAATTATTATTGATTTTATTTTAGATTTGACGACATATTTTCAAATGAATGGCGTGGAGGTTGAGATAGGCTCAGGCAGTATCACGTTGAATTGGGTAGGCCTACCATGTGGAACTCCTGCAAACCAAACTCAAACGACGACGAGTCCAATCATACAGTTTACCTGCTCACCTTCGATTTCTGGGCGTTACCTTCTTGTATGGTTTCCTGCAAAATCTGAACAGTTAACTGTTTGTGAAGTTCGAATCTACGACGAAGAAGAATTGGGAATAAGTAATATTCAGTTGTTATGATTATTTCATGAGCGGTTGCAAGCCGGCCTGCCCCCACCCGCTAATCATTTGATTTTGCAAAAGTGGAAAATTATATTCAAGTTGATCATTTATTATTGTTTCCTTCGTACGTATTTTTACTATAAAAAGAAATATACAACTGTATGGTGTATGTCGCATTGTCAAATAACATTTAATAACATCTCTTTTTTGATTTGTTTAAATAGGTGAATGTAGTGATCCGCCAATCAGAACTAGTTACTATGGATTTGTAGGAAATACAATTGAAGGTATTCAGTGTCAGGGGTGGGGAGAAGATAATAATCCGCATACTGACTTAATCACAGTGCCCTCGTCCTACCATATACACAACCTATGCCGCAATCCGGACTACGACCCAAATGGTCCATGGTGTTACACAGTTGATCCGAACGTTCGTTACTCATATTGCGACGTTCCTACTCTTGAGGAACCGTGCCCGCTAGGTATGCCGAGTCAAAAATATAAATACTGTAGGCTACAGTAAATTTTAAATTTCAGAAAGAATAGTTGCTTAGTAATTTTTTTTTACTTTTTAATTGATAAATTTGAAGGTGTCTTTATATCGTATCTGTTTCAATCTAAATACTCACAGTTAACCGATTTAATTATTGATGAATTTAAATGTAGGCTTATACTTTAAAAAATGTTTGGCACTTTTATTCCTCTTTGAAATGTTTTTATACTTCTGTCTATGACAGGACTTCTGATTAAAATAACAATTCAACTGTACTTATTTATGACTATCCACTTTATATTTTAGGCCTACAAATGGATATAAAAACATAGGCTGGTTAAATACTTCGTTTTACTTTCAGAACCATTTACAGGCGATTTGAACCCGATAGGGTGGTGGATAGTGGATACGTTATGTCTTCTATCGGCAAATCACGATTACGATGTGGCACGGGTAATGAATTTGGTCATCAACAACAACAATACGCGGTGTTTTGTAGAAATTAAACCCTCCGTAAGACTCGTGATGACAACGGACTATGCACATTTTGGAAATGAAGTCACAGAACTAACCATCGCGCTTATGATTTACGCCTACCGTAACTCATCTGGAAACATTTTAAGTTTTGGAAACAATAACGAACTTCTATCTATGAATCAGATTCATTCTAGTGGCCAGATGTACCATTCGGAGGTTACTATCTGCTATGGGAACACCCAGCTGTCTAGAGCACATGTCTTGTTACCGGAATTATGGACATTTCTTGCGCTGACATTCGATGGAGCTAATAGAAACGTAAAACTTTGGTGTGACGGAGAGGTTGCAAGCATTGCTTATGTACCATTACCTCATTTAAACATAATTTCGGAAGATGTTGTCTTAGAGGTTGGAAGTAATGCCGGAAGTTTCCAAGCGAAACTAGCCTTGTTGCAAGTATATAATCGTATATTGAACGAAGCAGAAATGAAGGCAGTAAGAGACACGAACATAGAAAGTGAGTTTTCGGAAATCTAAAATCTAAATACGAGACAATTTTAAATCATTTACAATTTTAATTCATTTGCAATTTCCATTAGTAATAACTACTTTGGGAAGAACTGTTAAACATTAACAGTTCTAGTAGGTCTACTATTTTTAATCTTAAATTTAAATAATACTTTCTCTCTTTCGATAGGGACATTGCTATAACAATTGAATTGAATTGAATTTAAAGATAAATAATTGAAACTTTATATAATCTAACATAAATTCAATAGAATACAGTATATATACTTATTAGTTTTTTTGGTTTTTTTTGGATTGATTGATGACACTATGTCGTTAATACATTTAAATCATTTGGAACAAAAAAAAAATACATCTCTTTCTTTAATTTCAAGTCGCAAAGAATACGAGACAAGGAATGTTCACGAGAATCATGTCGTCATTACGCTCCCATACTACAAACATTATGGAACGCTGGATTCACACGGTGTCAATTTGCTCTCAAATGTGTATCAGTGAACCACTTTGCCGAGCATTTGGTTTTGATAAAGGAACTCGTCTTTGTCAGCTCCTTCCTGAATTTGAAGTTGTTGACGAAACAAGCAACAAAATATACTACACGAAGAAGATAGAAGTTGCTGTATGTGGTGAGTGTGAGACCAATATTGAAACCTAATATTCATGTCCGGGGCGGATGCAGGATTTGGCGGTAGGAGGTACGTGATAATCCACACCACATTAGCCCCATCATGGTTTGGGGTGAGGCGAGAACATTTTGAGAATATTGACCTCAAGGTGCCCGGAAATATCACTCTCATCCTTTTAAAAATCTTACCGGAACTATATTTTTAGTGATAAAAATAATATATCAACAATATAATATAGCAATTCGTTTTCTTATTACAATTGATGGGGTGCAATCGCACCGTCTGATATTCGAGAGAATTATCTAAAAAACTATTTCAATTACGTAAGATGTATTATTATTATCAACATTCTTTACCGATATATTTATCTATATTGATGTAGGCCTTATATAACTGGCATATCATAATACATGTTATGTGACAGGCGCTGGCAAACTTACTTGTTGGAATTTTTAACTTCGCGCTAGTTAGTAACACAGAAAATGTCCGAAAAACGACCAGCTAATTTCAGGTTGTACAATTTATGAAAGATGATAATTATTTATTGTGAAAACATCCAACAAAAAGTATGTCAATTATTTGCTAAGATGTACCGTATCAATATTGATAGCAGAAGTTAATATCGTTTTGTTTTTAAACGTAGGCCTATACTGTAGTTAGTTT